ATTCTATTTATCAGAAATCAGATTAAAAAAACAAAATCTTCCTATCAGAATATTATTGGCGCGAGCATTTGTACGGAGAGTAGGGCACCGCTATAATTCGTAATTTTTTTCCGGAGTTCTTCTCATTCTAAAAGATGAATGGTCTCGAGATCTAATCCTCGAGGTAAGAGGGCTGAGCTCATTATTGCCAAATGAAGACACATCCCATCGGTAGTAATTTTTTTATCTTTGCATTTTCCCTCTTGCGCAGGGTCTGTACGAGTCAACTACCTCTGTATTCTTGAAGACATGATGTTTATCTATCCCAAGTTTTCTCGAGTCGGCTCTGATTTTGTCCAGCCACTCACCTTTGGCCTTGCCCGTGATCCTTTTCCAGCGAACTCCAGGCCGTTCTTTTATGTGGGTTTCATCTCTTCTGCTCATATGCCCGTACCATCGCAGTCGTTTTTCTTGCATGTGATGATGGGAGCAACTTTTCCTAGTTCGAACTGTGTCGTTACAAACATGGTTCAGCATGGTGATACCCTATTTCCACCGCAGCATTCTTGTCTCCATGATTTCGTGTACTTGGCCAACACTCAATGCCATGCAGCGCTGTAGGGAGAAACACAACGGTATATTTGAGAGTTAAGCTGCACAGGCATTCGTTTATCACACAGAACGGGAAGACTTTTTATCAAGGCTGCGTTTGTCCTGGCCGATAGCTCATCTTGAAGTCCTCCTTCGCCAGAGATGCGACTTCCCAGGTGCTTGAAAGTCCTCGTCTCTTGATTGGCTCATCATCGATGTATGGTTTCTGAAGTTTGACCTCCCTCTTCTATATACTCGGTCTTCTTTGGCTCAGCTTCAAGCTGTACGACCTTAATGTCCTTTCGTACCTCTTCTTCAAGTTCTTTTATGTTTTCTGCCATCAACACCACATCATCTGCATAAAGGAAAACCCATTCAGATTGTCGCTTTGCTTTACGTCACTGCATCCGTGACTGTGATAAAGAAGGAGTAAGCACCGATCCCTGATATATGCCTATTTTTA